TTTCTTCGTCCTTGTGACCTGACAGAAATAACTTGAGGAGCATGTATTTTAGCTCAGAGTTTGGACAGTTCAGTGCATGGTCAGTTGGCTAGTTTGGACCCATGGTGAGGCAGAACACATGACCCGAGCATGTGGTAGTGCCGGTTTACCTCATGGCCAACAGGAAGCAGATGTGGGTGGAAGGAACAGAAGTACAAACCCGGAGAACACACACCCAGTGCCCTTGCTCTCATTAAGCCCACTCCTAGAGTTGCTACAACCTTCCAAAGTGCCACCAAAGGAGACCAAGCTGTTAACCCCTCAGCCTGTGTGGCATTTCACAGTCAGGCTCTTAACATTCACTGTGAGTGTGGTAGAGTGTGTTCTGGATGCTGGCATAAACTGCAATTTCAGCTCATTCCTAAACTCTGACTAAAACTCTGCTCTCCTTCCTTCTCTAGACACTGACCAGAGAAGGCTTTGAGTCCATCTCCAGCAGCTCCAAAGAGCTTTTGGTCTCAGCTCTGCAGGAACTGGAGGCCAGCAACTCCACATCAAATAAGCATGTCCACTTTGAGCAGAACATGTCTCTCTTCCTCTGGTCCGAGAGTCCCAGCGATCTGCCTCCTGATGCTGCCTGGGTCAGCGTGGCTAACCGGGCTCAGTTTGCCAACAGTGGTCTCTCCATGAAAGCCCAAGCAGTCAGTCCCTGTGTACAGAGCTTCTGTTCTGCCCTGGACTCTAAGCTGAAGGTCAAACTGGATGACCTCCTGGCCTACCTTCCATCCAGCGACACACCACTACCCAAGGACCCCTCCCCCATGCACCAGGCTAAGAACTCTGCCTTCGACAGATACTCGGATGCTGGGACTGTGCAGGACATGCTTCGGACTCAGTCCGTGGCCTGTATCAAGTATGTGGTGGGCTGCATCCAGGCAGAGCTGCAGACCATTGAAGAAGTCACCCGAGACCAGAAGGATGTCCTTCATGGCACCAAGCTGCACGCAGTCCTCTTCATGGCCAGACTCTGCCAGTCCCTGGGAGAATTGTGCCCTCACCTGAAGCAGTGTATTGTGGGAAAGTGTGGGGGCTCTGAAAAACCAGCGAGAGAGGCCAGGACTCTCAAGAAGCAGGGCAAAGGGAAAGCTCAGGAGGTGCTCCCTGCGCAGGCCCAGTGGCAGGAAGTGAAGGAAGTCCTGCTCCAACAGAGCGTCATGGCCTACCGGGTCTGGAGCTCAGCGCTTGTGAAAGTGAGTGACAGGGAGTAATGCTGATTCATAGCTACAGTAACCTGTGCCATACAGCTCAGGTGTAAACGTCTGTTCCTCAGCCTAGACTTTATAGCATGTTTCTCTTACCAACCTGGACAGGGGAACCCTGCTTCCTGCTTTCGTGTCAATACCACAGCCCCTGTGGGTCTCCACCCAGGTGACACCTGGCATTACTAAGGTGGCTAGCAACTGCATTCTCCTGCTGAGTTGTTAACTTGGCAGGAGAGTGTGTCTGGCTGCTTACCATCCACACACTGGTCATTTTATCCCAATTCTGCAAGGGCCTGAGGAACTAATGTGGCTATTCTCTTTTCACCACCAGTTTCTCATTTGTGGATTCACTCAGCCATTGCTTTTAAGTGACGCTGGCTCAATCCTGGCCACTGCCACCAACTGGGATGAACTAGAAATTCAAGAGGAGACAGAGTCTGGCAGCAGTGTCACGTCTAAGATCCGCCTTCCTACTCAAGTGAGTTGGTCCCACTGTCACAGGGACTTGGGCTGCAAAAGGGAACGAACTGCCCTGGGGAAGCGGGATGGTTTTGGAAAGCCATTTCCCCACGTACCTTCTGAGGGACTGCTGAGTGCTCTGTGGGAGATGCTTCACTGGAGGTCAGGGTCTATGTGAGGGCTACGTGTGGCTTGCTGAGTGCACTTAGCAATGTGTTCTTCTGATCTGTCAGCCGTCCTGGTATGTACAGTCCTTCCTGTTCAGTTTATGCCAGGAAGTTAATCGTGTTGGAGGCCACGCCTTGCCAAAGGTGACCCTGCAAGAGATGCTGAAGAACTGTATGGGCCAAGTCATAGCTGCCTATGAGCAACTCACAGAGGAGCAACAGGTAAAGGTGGGTATCCAAATGTGTTCCCAAACAAACAGACCTTTTTTCTTGGATTTGGGCAGTTTGTATGAAGGGCACAGAATGGTATCATTGCCAACCCAGGCCCCAGTTCTATAAATAGGCTCCATTGTGTTAGGAGAAGCATTCGGCCCTGCAGGTTAATCCTATCTCAGGTTCAAACTGGTCCTCCCAAAGGTCAGGACTGGTAAACAGGGCAAAACCTCCACAGTTAAAACAGCCGAGCTTTGGCACCGGTGCCATCATTTGCTCACGCAGGCTCTGGTCAAGCTGTTAACCCTTTGACCTACTCAGGATCAAACGTAAGCAGTAGATGAGCCGCTGGGCTTCGAGTGAGTTAGTCATGCGATATAGTCCTTCCATGCTGGCTGCCAGGTGAGATGCGGGCTGGCCGAAGCTGTGCATTGAGAGGTTCTCTAAGATGGGAGGAGGCCCTAGCCTCTCAGCTGCCACTGTAGCTGTGCCTTTGACCCTTGACTTGTCCTAGTTCACTGGAACATTTAAAGGAGGGGGCATTCTGACATGGGTGAGAATTCAGTGGTCTTCAAGCCTGGGCCTCGTTGCTCACATACGTCTCCAAGCAAGAGCCTTGCTCCTCTGTGATGGCCACCTTCAGCCCAGAGCCTGTTTTAAAGGGCTGAGTCCCTTGAGATTTTTTTTTTTTTTTTTTTAAGATTTATTATGTATAGTGTTCTGTCTGCATGCATGCTTACATGCCAGAAGAGGGCACCAGACCTCATTATAGATGGTTGTAAGCCACCACGTAGTGGCTGGAAGTTAAACTCAGGACCTCTGGAAGAGCAGCCAGGGCTCTTAACCTCTGAGCCATCTCCCCAACCAAGTCTCGGAGATTTTTTAAGACCAGGGTTCTATATTGAAGACTTAGAGAATAACCTGGCCCTGAGGGTGTCAACAGCACCTTCTGAAACTGTGTCAAGCTGTAATAGAAGCAGAACCTGCAACCGTTCTTGGAACCATGTAAGGACTCCCCCCTTCACCAGCCAGCCTTCACTTGCAGAAAGAAGGGACGTTTCCAATGACCCAGAACCGAGCCCTGCAGCTCCTCTATGACCTTCGCTACCTCAACATCGTTCTGACCAGCAAGGGGGAGGAGGTGAAGAGTGGCCGGAGCAAGCCAGACTCCAGGTGACTATTCCTACTGGGCACCTCCAAGGCAGCCTCTTCCTGCCTGATTCAGTTAATGGACAGTACACTTAGAAGGGTTCCTCCTGGGATCTCCCCATTTTACAGTGGTGGGAGAGCGCAGCATTCGGTAGGAACCATACTTCAAGTCCAGGATTTAGATCTGAATCTCGGCCAGCAATAAACTACATCGTGCACTGTGCATGGTGTCCTTTAATCCCAGCACTTGGAAGCTAGAGGCAGGCGGATCTCTGAGTTCAAGGCCAGCCTGGTCTACAGAGTGAGTTCCAAGACAGCCAGGGCTACACAGAGAGAAACCCTGTCTTGGAGGGTAGGGTGGGGGTGTCTATGAACTGAGCACTTGGGCAGCTGTGGTCCAGCACCGTCTGTATGCTGGCGTATGGCAACAGCCTAAGATGAGGCCCCTTTCCAGAGACGTCCCCCAAAAAAGCCTGCCATATACTGCAGGCTTTCTTAAACAGTGAGTCACTTGTAACAGGTGGGTTAAATTATACCTGCTGAGTAAATTCCACAGCCAGGTGCAGCAGGAAGAACCTGTTTGGTAAGGAAGACACTGGGCTTAAGCATCATGTCAGGCCTAGGACTGTCAGTCCTATGGACGTTAAGCAACTCCGCTGGGCAGTGCCCACTCTGGGGTTCCTATTGTAGTAAAATACTGCCAGGTTGTTTTCTGTCCTGAAGTATATGGAGAATAATGTTTCTAACTCTTCTCAGAATTGAGAAAGTGACCGAGAGGCTGGAGGCCCTCATTGACCCTTTCGACCTGGATGTTTTCACACCACATCTCAGCAGCAACCTTAACCGCCTGGTACAGCGGACTTCTGTAAGTTGGGTCACAACCATGCTCAGTGTGACTAGAGATGAGATGGAGTGCCTTTAGTTCACATCACACAGGAAGCCTGCTCCAGTCCTTCATGCACAAGGGTGAGCTACAAATAAGCCACTTCCTGGAAAAGAATTAGCTAAAATGCCCTAAGTTTCAGTAGCCACTCTGGAAGTAAGGGGTTAGTTAAGTTGATTTACACCAGCCTCACAAAAAGAAATACATGGGTGCCGGGCCCAGTGTGTAAGGTGTGGGCCACTGACCTGCCACCAAGTCCAGTCCCCAGGACCCACATGGCAGAAGACTGACTCCACAAAGTTGACCTCTATCTCCACATGTGCCTGTGGACATGGGACATTGCTGTGCACACGCAAACATACACACAGTACGTTTTAGAAAAGAACTACAGGGCTTGGAGATTCTCACCCGTGGCAGACTAAGGAGCCCTTCTAAAAAAGTAACAAAGGTACACGCTCCCAAATGCTGACAGTGAAGTAACTTGGGGTAACATTCACTGGGCCTCCTCCCTTTCTTACTGTAGGTTCTATTTGGATTGGTTACTGGTACAGAGAATCAGTTTGCCTCCCGGAGCAGCACATTCAACTCCCAGGAACCCCATAATATCCTGCCACTAGCCTCCAGCCAGATCAGGTGAGTAGCTCCTGAGGCTCTGGGGGAGGCCAAGACTGCTTGTTCACCATGATGAAACCGTCTCTCTTGTCTCAAGGTTTGGACTGCTTCCCCTGAGCATGGCAAGCACGAGAAAGGCAAAGGCAACCAGCAGAGGCGTTGAAACACAAGCCCAGGTTAGTGCCAAGAGAAGAGGCTCTCCAAGTTCTTCCAACCCCCTCCCCCACTCAGCATCCAAACCCCCACCAGCTTTTAGAAATAAACAATTAGGCACCATATGGCAATGCACTAAGGCTGCTTTTAATGGCGGCGCAACAGAATACAAGGTTTCACTTAGCTTGAGCTTATAAGAAAGATTTTCATCAGCTCGAGCAAATAGCCTTAAAGCAGAAAGGGACCCAGACCCAGACCGTTAAGAACACACAGCATGGGATAGAGATGGTTTCTTGCATTTTGTAGGGTAAAGAGACTGTTGGCTGGCATTTCAGCACTTGGATCAGCATGGGGAGAAGACCCTTTGTCTTGCGGATGGTTTCATCTGTGCCTTTAGTTGGGTGGGAAATAGGAAGAACCGGGCTTCCTTGAGCATTGTTTTATTAATACATGTTTTGTTTTGGTAGGACGCCATCCATAAGCCTGCCGGAGCCCTCCTGGGTATTTCTGGGTTGTGTTGTGTACATGTGTGCTTGACAGCTTCTCTTATAGTTCTGTTTGCCTGTTACACAGAATTCCAGTCAAGTATCCTTTCCCACATTCCCTGCCAGCAAATCCAGTAAGATCCAAGTTTGGCAAACATCTGATTTTAAAATCTGGAAAAAGTCCTAAAAGAAAACTTTCTTTCTGAACTGCGGGCTTCATGACACTAGTTTCCATATCACACAGCTGGCCTTTCCGTGCTGCGGCCCCCAGAGGAGCAGGCCATGGAAGGCCCGCATGTTCACTCCTCCTGGCATGGGCCTCCTTCAGACTGTAGCTGTATCAAAGTGTAACCCGCTCTGGTCCAACAAGTCCCTCAGACCCTTCTTACTAGTCATCCCTGCTCCTCAGTGCTGCTGCCTGTGCTGTGTGGCCTCTGAGTGGGATGCCGTGGAGGGGGAGCAGGCAGGAGGCTGAGGGTGACGCTTAAGGCACTTCCTCTTCATCTAATGGCAGGTTGGCTCCCAGGCACTCTCCAGAGTAGGTGACCAGACGCATCCTGGCTCCTTGTTCAGACAGCTCGCCGGCGAGGAAGACGACTCACCTGCGCCTTCCTTATTCAAGCTTGCCTGGCTCTCTAGTATGACAAAGTAGCATGGAAACAATGTCCCGGCTCTCTATTAAATACTAGTGCACCGTTTTGACTAGAGGTGCCTCTGTTGTGTTCCTACACCACCAGTCTTCCTGGTTCTGATGGAATGTGGCCCCATAGCAGGGCAGGGTGCTGGTCAAGCATGAGTTAAGTCCTCTGCAGCTACCTGGCAGCTCGTGCTCCATCAGCACTGACTACTGCCTTGGTTATGGGCACTGCAAGGGTTAGCGGTTAAGCTGTTAATACGCAAGTTTGTAAGACAGTTACTAGGTATTTCTTGACTTAGAGAACTGCAGTGTTCTCTGAGGTGCAGACTAGAAGAAAACAGATAGGGAAGTTGACATTCTCCCTGGAAATACAAATGTGTAACAGATCACAACTAGGGCAGGTGCTTGGCCTCACGGTCTTCAGAGTGGGCTGTTGCATTCAAACTGTTCCATTCCAGGGAGCACTTTCCATGGACATCTACATACTAAGAGGTAGTATGGCAGTTAACGTCAGTGCAAGACTGAGTCAAGCTTCGTGTATTTGGGGAGAAAACTTATGTTTTGTTTTGTTTTTTTTTTCTTGGAAACTAGATAATCTTTACTAGTTTATTGAGTTAAAAAATTGAAGATCCCACATTTTAAGAGGCTCTTATATACAGTACAAGTCTAATTGGAAATCAGTCACAGGAGGCATCCTCAGACACTGCTATGACACGGACTTGATGCCTTCTCTCAAAAGAATCCTCTAAAAAACTGCTCCCAAGCCCCTCCGAAATCGCAATAGTGCAGCAAAACCCCAGGTAAACAGCTGCCTGCTGACCCAATACTCAAATATAGACTGAAAGCCAACAGGCATTTTTTTTTTCTGTGTGCAACTTTTAAAAACAAATCATTAAGTTGAAATATCCAATCTGCACAGTGCTGTCCCTTCACAGAAGGCAAGAAACTGCCGGAGCATCATGTCAGAGGCCGACCTCGGTGCTGTAAGCTGTGAAAGTGGGCCTCCTTCAGGGTCTGATTGATAAGGAAGTAAGGGCCTTGGCACAGTGCAGACTGCTCGGGCACCGGCTGGGGGGTGCTGGGGCAGGATCCAGGGATGATGTGGCTCAAGCTGCTCTCTGGTCCACTGGCCCTGTCCGGGCTGTTGATGCTGCTGCTGCTACTGCTGCTCCCACCGCTGTCACTGCTGGAGGACTGGAGAAAAAGAAAAGGCCAGAGTCATATCAGCCAGTCTTCCTGCAAAAAGGCTTCATTCAGGCTTCAAATGAGATACCCTATTAAGAGTCTTCTTTGTAATTACAAAGAAAATCCCACTGTGAGCTGGGTTATGGTAGCGCACACCTTTAATCCCAACACTCGGGAGGCAGGGGCAGGCGGGTCTCTGAGTTTGAGGCCAGTCTGGTCTCCAGAGTGAGTTCTAGGACAGCCAGGGCTACACAAAGAAACCCTGTCTCAAAAAAACGAACAAGAAAAGGGCAACAATCAACACAAATGTGCAGTGCTCTATGGCAGGGTGCTCGGAGTGATACTCTGGGTCACAAAAACATGGTATTAAACTATCCCAGGCTTTATGTGGACAGTAGGCATAGCTCATGCTAGAAAGGGATCATGACAAGGGAAAAGGTTTTAAGGAAGTGGGGTGGACAGAGTAATAGAACACATTAGACATCAAAGTGGGAAGGGGCCGGGCGCTGGTGGCGCAGCCTTTAATCCCAGCACTCGGGAGGCAGAGGCGGGCAGATCTCTGTGAGTTCGAGGCCAGCCTGGTCTCCAGAGCAAGTGCCAGGATAGGCTCCAAAGCTGCACAGAGAAACCCTGACTCCAAAAAACCAAAAAAAAAAAAAAAAAAAGTGGGAAGGGAACTCGTGGGGTGACACAGTATAAGCCAGGAGGGGGGAGGGGGAACAACCCCCCCCAAAGTATATACTGAAATGTCACAAGGAAACTGTTAATGCATGTGCTCACACTGCCCTGTCAGGTAGGAAGTGCTGGGTCTAAATCAAGCATGGACCTTGACTGGAACACCCCTCACCCCCATCCTAGTTCTTCCCCTCCACTTTAACCACTCATTCCACCACTCCAGTAACCACGGGTGCTCAGTTCTCAGCGTCAAGCGGAGCATCAGCTCCTGGTACAAGGGGCAGAAAAGGCATGCCCAGTCCACAGAATAAACTCAGCATAGGTAACTGACAACCTGAATGCAAAACAATGTCCTATAACCACTTAGGACACAAAAATTAGCCTGTCCATCTTGCTGCCAACACACGATAGTGTGCTCAGCTGAGTATGTGCCCTGTGGAAACAAGGTCTTGGGTACAGGCAGTCATTATATCCTCATAACTGTTGGCAGTGCGGTACAGCCAGAAGGGCACTATCCTGAACAGAAATTCTGGAGTCACTTGTGGGCTTCAGTTGTTCTTATGCCCACCTGCTATGCAAACAGCTGATATGACACGTCACCAGCATTGCTCAGACACTTGGTAAATATTTACTGAGCTCAACTAGGGAAAATGGTGGTAATGCATCCACAGATAACCAGAGTCCACAGCTACTGCTGGGGGAGAAATGCAGTGGTGCATGCTGGGCAAGCATGGGAAAGGCTCCCAACAGTGGCTCCACTGGTCCATGAGGGAAACTCTGGTGATGAAGGCCAGCCTGGACCATCTGGGCCCTAAGACTCTCAAAGAGCAAACAAAAAAAACGAGTACAGGACAGACAGAAATCAAGCTACAAGGATGGAAGCCTCGTCCTTGACCTCCCTGATGGCCAGCTCTCACACCACTGAAGGATGCTATGCAGACTGCTGAGGGAGCTCTCACTGAGTCTTACTCAGCTGTGGACCCTCAGTGTTATAAGAAGTACATGCTGCTGCCAATGGCACTGAATCAGTAATTCGTTACCAACCTGCAGGGTTGTATTTGAGACCTACTCCAAGGGAAGGATTTGACAGGTACCATCAACCAAATGATGGAGGCTGGGGAGGTCCTAGGCCTCAGCAGGGAAGCTAAATGGACATGATGTGACCATCAAACTGCATCTCAATCATGCTGTCTCTACCTACAGATTAGTGCTACGTAAGTCTGGTGCGGGCAAGTGGTAAGTGGTCAAGGACACTCAGCCACACATGGGACTTTGTATCACTTCTTCCCTAACAGCAAAGGTTGGGAAGGAAAGAATGGAGGAGCCAGAGGAAGGACTGGAGTGAGGTGGAATGCCTGTGCAGCTTTGATCTCACAGGAGCAGTGTTTACTGGCCAAGACCTGTGCGAGATCAGGCTGGTGAGATGGCTCAGGGGTAAAGATTACTACCATGCCTAATAACCTGAGTTCAGCAGCCAGGACCCACATAATATAAAGAGAAAACCAACCTCCACAAGTTGTTCACTGTTCTGTGTAAGCCTAACACTAAATAAAGAAACATAATGGGCTTGTCATTCTGTCGTGGAGAAAAATGGCCTATGAGGCCCTATGCCCAGATCTATCTGCAGACAATGGTGGCTGTGGGTGGAGGGGCTCACAAACCTTCACACACACACCCCACCCCCAGTATCTACTAATGGCTGCAGGGTAAGGTTCTAACATGTTCTCTATGGAGAATCCATTATAAGAAGCCTATGCTCCTTTAATAACTTCACACAATCCTGCAAGCAACCCCAATGAAACTCAGCGGGTCATCAAAAACAGTACATCAAAAAATAAATGAAGACAGGAAAGTAGAAGAGGTCCTGGATGGGAAGGGAACAGAAAGGGGAAAGGAGTCAATATGATAAAATACCTTACATGTATGCATGAGATTGCCATAATGAAACCTATTATTAGGTATAATTAACGTTTGCTAACTAAAATAAGCAGAACCAGAATGTATGTGTGTATTTACTACCTAGAACCACATGCTTCCTATTTCGGGAGGGAGGGAGGGAGATCATTTTATGGTTTTTTGGTTGGTTGTTTCTGTTTTGTTTTGTTTTGTTTGTTTTTGAGACAGGGTCTCACTATGTAGCTCTGGCTGTCTTGGAACTCACTATAGACCAGGCTGGCTTCACAGAGATCTGCCTGCCTCTGCCTCCTGAGTGCTGCAACTAAAGTGTCAGTCACACTTACACTGCCTCTAGAAAAATACTTTAATCTTTCAGGCCCTAGTTTCTCTTCACCTCCATCTCCACATTCGCCAATGCTCTCAATTTACATGAACCTACAAAGAAAAAACTCTCCTGTGCAATGTTATGGCACACTCCTATAATCCCAAGATAGAGAGGCAGGAGGATCAGAAATCTAAGGCCAGCCTTGATATATATATTCAAAGTTCATTTGCCACAGATTTATAAACAAACAACCCTAATTCCCCACACAATCGTTAGCCAAAACAAATCTACTATCCCCAAAAGATCCAGGATGGAAAAAAATTAAGAGCTTTAGCTGGGCTTGTAATCACAGCTCTTGGAAGGTGGAGGCAGGGTCACAAAAAATAAGTTCAAGGCTAGGCTGAGTTCCACATGAATTCCAGGCCAGCATGGGTCATCCTGTCTTAGAAAAACAAAACATCACCAGTGAGATGATTCCTACCTGCTAGAGAGAACCAACTCCCACAGTTGGCCACACACACACACTAAACATATACTAAGTAAATGTGAGAGTAATTACTAAATGGAATAGTAAATTAGAGAATCAATCTAGTTTTAAAGCAAAATTAAAAATGACCACTTTAATATTAAGCATATCTAAACTTATGCTCAACTTGGAGCTGGAGGAATGCCTCAGCAGTTAGGAGCACTGGTTGCTCTTGCAGAGGACCTGGGTTCAGTTCCCAGCACCCACATGGTAGTTCACAACCTTCTATAATTCTGGTTCCAAGGGAAGCTTACACCCTCTTCTGAACTCCACAGGCACACAATGCAGATTTACACAGAAGCAAAACACTCCTACACATGAAATGAAAATTTAAAAAACAATTCTTTTAACTCATGCCTTTAATCCTAGCACTCCAGGTAGAGAGGCAGGAGGATCTCTGTAAGTTCAAAGCCAGCCTAGTCTACAGATCAAGTTCCAGGACAGCTAGGACTACAGAGTACACTGTCTCAGAAAAAAAATCAATAAACAAAAAAAGATTATGCTAAACTGGGCTGGGGATGTAGCTTAGCAGTGTAGCACTTGGCCTGGAGTATACAGGGCTCTAGGTCCAATCCTTCATGTACATCAATGAGCGAATAAATAGATAAATGAATAAACAAGTAAATAATTAAACAAACAAACAAATAAATAAATAAGCACTATGTGCATTCCCACTGTCACCCAACAGCTAGTTCTCCTCACTTACAGCAATGGATTTAGTCCTGACTTTGAAAAGCTGTGGCCCCCCTCCCTGCTCCTGTTATTTTGGGCATACCTTTATACTCTCACTAAAAACTCTTGGGACTTCAGTATTAGCATCAGAATTCCTCTCTTCCTGTAAAGACAAGGAGGCACATACATGCTGCTTTAGGAAAGCCGCTCACTGTAGCTCCCCATCTTTTCACCCCATCCCCATTCCCTCATAGTAACAGGAAACACTGGGGAGGGTACTTGGCACTCTAAAAAGTTTATTCATTTATTCAACTAGAACTCTGTTTATCAGGCTCACACCTGAGTACCAGAAGGCTGGTTTGCATGTCAGCATTTAGTGTAATTTACAGACACTAACGCTATGCTGGAAAAGCATCACTCCCACATGTGTACAACTACAACTCAAACCAGCAAGAGTAGCTCCTGTGAATCTAACTGGCTTCTTTCTGAAGGTTTTGGGGTTTTTTTTTTGGGGGGGGGGTTGCTTTGTTTTTGAGAGAGGGATTTACACTATACCCAGACTGGCCTACAATTTACTGTAGAGCCCTGTGGCTGCTCTCAAATTAATGGTAATCTTCCTGCCTCAGCCTCTCAAGGGCTGGGATTATAGACCTAAGCCGCTCCACCTGCATAATCTAGCCCGTTTTTTAAGTGTTTACAAATACTGAGCTATGAGCTAGAGAGATGGCTCAGCAGGTGAGAGCACTTGTCACTCTTACAGGGGACCAAGGTGTCCGTTCCAGGACAGGCTCCAAAGCTACACAGAGAAACCCTGTCTCGAAAAGAGAGAGAGAGAATGGGGGTGGGGGGAAATGGGGGGAGAAGAGATGGGAGGGGGAGGGGGAGAGGGAGAGGGAGAGGGAGAAAGAGAGGAAGAAAACAAATACAAAGCTTTTGCTTGCAGAGCAACTCTCTAAGTCAGGCCTCCCAGCCCTTCACTCAGAACACCAAGGCAAGAGGTGACCACGACATCCAGTTTTCAGACAACTGACCAGTGTAACAGCTGCACGAGGCAGATGCCTCAAGGCCAACTATTAGATGTGGCATAAAAGAGTAAATCTTAGAAGTTCATTATAGGTAATGATTTTAAACAATTGCCTCACAAATGGAAAAAGTCACCAGAAAAAGAACTCTAAAATTATTTTAGTATTTTTTGCTTTGTTTTTTATGTGCATTGGTGTTTTGTCTGCCTATGTATCTGTGTGAGGGTGTTGGATCCCCTTGAGCTGGAATTACAGTTGTGAGCTGCCATGTGGGTGCTGGGAATTGAACCTGAGGCCTCTGGAAGAGCAGCCAGTGCTCTTAACCACCGAGCCATCTCTCCAGCCCTAGGGAATGGGTTCTTATCTCACCCTAAAGGAAGCATATCTTGTTGACCCAGCCTCAGAATTAAAAGGTTACCTCTTTTATTAAGCCAGTAGCTTATTTATTACGTCAACTGACAATATTAAAACTTTACTCTTCTCTTTTATATACAATTATCAGAAAGGAGCCAAATGTCTCCAAAGCTGTTTTTGTACTACAAACACAAGAATCTATTCCAGTGAGGAAATGTCAGTCACCTGGGCTTCACTTCCCACTTTAGAAGACCCCAGCCTTCTGCCTCTTTGGGTCACCTGCTGTACACTCATCACTCCAGCACAGAGCAAGCTTGGCACAGAGCAGAGCAGCCTATATCCAGCAAGCAACACTGAGAGTGCTGGTTAAGATACAAAGCTGGGCAAGCTGCCAGTGGGCTCAGACAAAGGCTGTTACAGTGGCCTTACGCTGTAATGAGGACCAGCTAGCCCATACTTCAGACTGTCGATTCCAGACTGGTTCAACAGTGGAACTTCTCTGGACAAGTAAGAAAGATAGGTAACCCAAAAGTCACAAGCCACTATTTTCTCCCGGGGTGCCAATGCATAGATGGTAGAAACCGAGTCTAGGATATTCTCTACAAACTACAATTAAAACAATATAGCCTGGCATGGTGGTGCACACTTTTAACCCCAGCAAGCTCTTGGGAAGCAAAGGCAGGTGAATCTCTTCAAGTTCAAGGCCAACCTGGTCTACAAAGGAAGTTCCAGGCTGACAAGTTCCAAACACAACAACAAAAAAACCAACCAAACAAACAAAAAACCCTAATACTAAAATGCATGTGCTTCAAACAAGGAAACAGAGGAGCTTGAGACATGGCCCAGCAGCTAAAAGCGCTTATTGCTCTTTTAGAGGATCCGGGGTTTGGTTCCCAGCATCTACACCTGGTAATTCACAAGCACTCAAATCTAAGTCTAGAGGAGCTGGTGTACCCCTGGCCTCACAGGCACTTCTAATCATGTGGCACACATAAACTCACATAAGCAGGAATGCATGCATGCATGCATGCATGCATGCATGCATACATACATACATATATATACATACATACATACATACATACATACATACATACATACACACACACATACATACAGCCAGGTGGCGGTGGTGAGTTCCAGGACAACGAGGGCTATTACACAGAGAAACCCTATATTAAAAGCCAGGCGGTGGTAGTGCACGGCTTTAATACCAGTACTCGGGAGGGTAGAGGCAGGCAGATCTCTGAGTTCAAAGTTAACCTGGTCTACAGAACGAGTTACAGTCTGGGCTACACAGAGAAACCCTGTCTTGAAAACCTCACTCCCACAAAAAACAAACAAACAAACAAATAAATCCAAACCAAACCAAACCAAAAAATTATTTAAAAAAGAAAGAAGATGACAAAACCAGGTCCCGTGAGACAGATCAGCAGGCAAAGGCACTTGCCCGGAGTCTGACAACTAGTTTGATTTTCAAGACCCATAGAGTGGAAGGAGAGAACTGAAGCCTTGTGCTGGCTGTCCTCTACCCTCCACAGTGCCCAAATCTCTCTAGTTTACACACACACCACACACACACACACACACACACACACACACACACACACACACACACAAAAAGATAAGATAATTTTTTAATTTTTAAAGAGGAAACAAATTTTTAGGTTAAAAAAATGACATTTTAAAAATCCTGTTCTAAAACATCAAACCACAGACAGGATGGTGGCAAGTCCTTGGCTGTTATTGTCCAACCTAAGATGCTCAGGGCATACTCTGATCTCTGGTTTCCTTCATCCCCCGGATTCCCCCAATCATCCCATTCAACAAAAACTCAACTACTTTTCTGCTAAACACTTTTCTGTTAGTTTTGTTTTTGAGACAGGGTTTCTCTGTGTAGCAGCTCTGTAGACGAGGCTGGCTTCAAACTCACAGAATCCACCAGCCTCAGCCTCCCAAGTGCTGGGATTAAAGGCGTGTGCCGCCACCACTACCCCCGCTCAGGCAAGCTAAACACTTTTTTAAAGAAGAAAAAAAATAGACTAAGATTTTTAAAGAAATGCTATCAGAACTCAAGTCTACTCATGGAAGGAACATACTCTAGATTTATGTGTTAGCTGGCCCTGAAACATGAAGGCCAATGTCCGCTCATTGGTGACTTTGGATTAGTGGCTCAAAGTCTAAATAAAAGGCAGATCCTATTAGCGGGAACCAAACACAACAGGGTCTTGTTTAGTGTGTAAATCCAGATGTCTGTCACTGGAGCGTGACATGTTAGGGGCCAGAATGTGGAGGTGGATGATTCACCCTCAGCACTTCAACCTTGAGTTCTGTTATCAAGTCCCAACTGCACAAAAAACTGTCCCCACAGCAGAGCACTCTTTCTGGAAAACAAAAATTGCAAAGAACTCTGAGAGTGCTCCCCACCTTTGCTTCACTCTCCTCCCCTCCCAACACTTTCTAGAACACACTGAAGAATGAAAACCTTCTAAAAGGGGATTTGTGCACAGGCACTAGACATGTTTTACTGCTCAGAACTGTTATTGAACACATATGTCTCCTGTGAGGACAATCACAGCTCATAAGCCACCAGGAAATGGGCTAGTTGTGGAAATGTAAAATTAGAGGATTCAAAGATGGGCTTCCAAAGTCCATGAAACTATTACAAATGGGGTGGGGATGGGGGTGAAAATGACCATGTACACACTACTTACCTGGCAGGACAGTCCCTACCTTCCTCAGAGACTTTGACTGAAAAGAAGAAATACAGCCGGGCAGTGGTGGAGCACGCCTTTAATCCCAGAGTTTGGGGGGCAGAGGCAGGCAGATCTCTGTGAGTTCCAGGCCAACCTGATCTACAAGAGCTAGTTCCAGGACAGCCTCCAAAGCCACAGAAAAACCTTGTCTTGAACCCCCACCCCCTCACTCCGAAATAAAAGAAAAAGAAAAGAAGAAATACAAGCCTGGTGTGCCAGCACATAACTCCCCATCATGGAGAAAGGACAGCCACAAACTTGAGGCCAACCAGGTTTGAGTCCTAGACTAGCCAGGACCACTCATCAAAACTCTGCCTCAAAATAATGAGACATTAAGCGGGAATGACCCCAAGGTGGGAACGACCACAATCAGGGCAGGTGAGGTAATCTCTGAAAAAGGAATTCCTGTCAACCACGCAAGGGAGACATGCAGATGAGCCTGCAGCCATTCTGTCTACCTCTGTGTCCCAGGAATCCTGGAAGATGGGGTTCCTACTGCTCCTTTTGGTCTGGGGTGGGAGATGGTTATCATCATCATTTCTTCTCCTTTTCCTGAAATTAAACACAAAGAGGAAAAATAACCAGTTATGGAGCTTGCAGACTCTTCAATTATAAACCCCAACAACACACAAAAATTTACCCTTGCGGGGCTGGAGAGATGGCTCAGAGGCTAAGAATGCTGCTCTTCCAGAAGACCGGGGTTCAATTCCCAGCATCCACATGGCAGCTCACAACTATCTATAACTCCAGTTCCAGGGATCTGACACCCTCACACAAGCATACATGTAGCCAAAACACCATTACACATACATAAAATAAAAATAATTTACATATGAAAAACATTTACCCTTCAGTCTAAAAAAAATTAATCCACCATGACATCCCAGTGGGAGGAATTATACTATTCCAGCACTGGGCACTAAGTAAGCAGAGACAGCTGGTAAGGCCAAGCCTTAGGGGAAAGGCTAGTTCCCAAACACCTGCTGGGAACAGAGTAACATGAGGAAGGTAACCACGAAGCTTCCCAACTCAGTTTCTTCTTACCACACCCCCTGAAATTATAACGCCAATCCCCCCCCCTTTACTCCCTGCCCTGCAGGGCACTGAAGTGGTGCCACTGACTGCCTCTTTGCCCTGAAATACACACAAGACGGAGCCACACAGGAACAAATAGGCTGTCTAGAGGTTCTGATGCCCTGCTTTTGGGGGGGGTTGACTATTATTTTTCTGAGTCATCATTGAAAATGCTTGGACTATCAATGTTACATCACTGCCTGGATTGTCTGTCACTCATTGACAGTAAATGCTGGTTAAAACCACCAGGCTAAGGGGGGAAAGGATCACACCTTTCTCTAGCAAGTGCTCAGTAGAAGAGAGTGCATGTTTATCTACAAGAATAGGGGCCATCAGAAGGATTTTAATCTCAAACAGAAAACAGGAATAAATTAAAGGAATACCTCTAAGACCAACTGCCTGGAATAACCTGTGCAACATGGCAGCCACTAATAATGTGGCCTCATTTAAATCAACCAAAATTTAAAATCCACATCTTGCTGGGCATGATGGCTTGTACTTCTAATCCCAGAACCCAGGAAGCAGAGGCAAGGGATCACTTTGAGTTCTGTACAGTGAGTTCCAGGCCAGCAACACAAGATTGTCTCAAAAAGAGCAAAAATAATTAATTTAAAAATAAAAAATCCGGGAGCTGGAGAGATGGCTCAGAGGTTAAGAGTGCTGACTGCTCTTCCAGAGGTCCTGAGTTCAATTCCCAGCAACCACATGGGGGCTCACAACCATCCATATGAGATCTGGTGCCCTCTTCTGGTGTGCAGATATACATGGAAGCAGAATGTTGTATACATAATAAATACATAAAATCTTTAAAAAAAAATAAAAATAAAAAATAAAAAATCCAGAGCTAGAGAGATGGCTCAGAGGTTAAGAGCACTGCCTGTTCTTCCAGAGGTCCTGAGTTCAACTCCCAGTAACCACTTGGTAGCTCACAACCATCTCTAATGAGAGCTGGTGCCCTCTTCTGGCATGCAGGCAGAACACTGTGTACCTAATAAACAAACAAATCTTAAAAAAAAATAAAAATAAAAAAACCAGCTGAGTGGTGGTGGCGCACGCCTTTAGTCCCAGAGCTCGGGAGGCAGAGGCAGGCAGATCTCTGCCCCAAAATGCCAATAAATAAACAAGTAAATAAATAAATAATGCAGTTACTGCCAGGCAGTGGCTATGCCTATAAAGCCAGCAAGCAGGGGTTGAAGCAGGAGAATCACTGAACATTTGAGGCCAGCCTGGGCTACACTAAGTTTCAGACCAGCCTAGCCAAGGCTCGAGACCTTATCTCTTTACACTGAACAGCAACAGTCTCTGCACTCCTGGAGTCACCACATGCAGCTTTGGCTCAGCACACAATGCCAAGCTCATCTCACTACCAGTGTATATAGAGAACAGCAAATGTGCAAGCTGTGCCCAGCACCTCCTTCAGGTTACTTCACATAGCTACCTCAGGCTCAGGCATGCCACCGGTTACCTTCCCAGCCAGCCAAACTGCTCAACGACGACCAAGTACTCACTGAACCACTCAGGGTGCCAGGCCTCACGAATCCCAAGACCTGCCTCATGCTAGCCCCTAGCCACTCCTACACCAGCCTTCAGTCCTGAAGGCTTCAGCCAAGCCTCCTCACAGGCTAAGTCATGTCCACCAATGTGATACTAGCACAGTCACAGGAGGCTGCGCCAGCCACTCCGTCTTCACCATGCCCAGCATAAATAGACTGTGGGAGTCCACAATCCCCAACAGCTTCACGAACAACCACAATTACCACACAGAAGCCTGATGTTCAAGTACAGGGTCTCTAACTGTTTCCATGTGGCACTATGCTTTTTTTTTTTTTGGTTTTTTCAAGACAGGGTTTCTCTGTGGCTTTGGAGGCTGTCCTGGAACTAGTGCTTGTAGAGTAGACCGTGCTGGTCTTGAACTCACAGAGATCCGCCTGCCTCTGCCTCCGAGTGCTGAGACTAAAGGCGTGTGCCACCAACGCCTGGTAGCACTATGCCTCTTGACAGCAAAAGCAAATACTGGGTGAAGTGCTGTTTTCTCTCATTGGAGCAATGCAGCCCATTCATAGTATTGAGCATGCTGGAGACTGAGAACCCGAACTATTTCATATGCCCAAGTCTCCAGCTCTCTGCTCTAGAGCTGATGGAGCTGTAGCCGTACTGCTACAGGGCCTGCCCAGAAAGCATCAACAGCTGCTGCTTTCCCCTGTCAGGATTACTGCCATTTAAAATTCATCAGGGGGCTTGTGAGATGGCTCAGCAGGTAAAGGCCCTTGCTGCTTGGCCTGACAACCTGGGTTCCATTTCAGGTCCCACATGGTGGAGGAGAAAGCGGACTCTCAAAAGTGGCGCTCTGACCGCCACACACTCATGTCTACACACACAAAATAAAACACACTTCAAAAGTCAAGAGTAAGGCCAGGTAGTGGTGGTTCACGACTTTGATCCCAGCACTTGGGAGGCAGAAGCAGGTGGGTCTCTGTGAGTTCAAGGTCAGCCTGGTTTACAGAGTGAGTTCCAGGACAGCCAGGGCTGCACAGTGCACACACCCCCCCCCCGAAAAAAAAGCAAGAGTAAAATTGATCAGAGACCACAGAAAGGAACTCCTACTTCACTGAAGAAACAGACTATTGTAAATTGATTATGGAAAATGTTGCAAAATATAAATTTTAATAGTTTTTTTTTTTTTTTTTTTTTGGTTTTTCGAGACAGGGTTTCTCTGTGTAGCTTTGGAGCCTATCCTGGCACTCACTCTGGAGACCAGGCTGGCCTGGAACTCACAGAGATCCGCCTGCCTCTGCCTCCCGAGTGCTGGGATTAAAGGCCTGTGCCACCAACGCCTGGCTAGGATTTTTTTAAAAAAAAAAAAAAACAAAACAGGATTTTTTAACAGAGTTTCACTGTGTAGCTCTAGCTCTAGCTGTCCTGGAACTTGCTCTGTAGACCAGGCTGGCCTCAAACTCAAGAGATCTGCCTCCTGAATTCTGGGACTAAAGGCATGCACCACTACTGCTGCTTTTTTTTTTTAAAGATAGACTCTCACTAAGTAGCCCTGGCTGTCCTCCAACTCACAAATCCACTGCCTCTGCCTCCCAAGAGCTGGGATTAAAAGTGCTCATTACCATGCCCAGCAGGAAAGGACATTTTGAACCTTATATGGGGGGTGGGGGGGATATGCCTTGTCTAGTGAACAACACAACACCAGTTCTAAATTATTTTACTTAAAACAAAAATATAAAGCAACTCATAAAATGCAAAACAAATGACTGTTTTTTAGACCCTAGGAAAAAGAAGGTTCAGCAAAGAACAAAAATTCAAAGATTCTGTAGGTCTGCAGATCTTCTCTGTGGAAAAGATTACCATCAGTTGTTTGGTTAACCTTTTTAAGATTTATTTTATGTGTATGAGTGTTTTGCCTACATGTATGTGCACACATGTACCTGACATCCATGGCTGTCAGAAGAGGGTAATGGATGCCCTGGAGCTGGAGTTACAGATAATCACCATGTTGGTGCTGGGAATTGAACCTAGGTCCTCTGTAAGAGCAATAACTTAACTGCTGAGCCCTCAACTCTGCTTAAGTAACTGGGTGATGAAAAAAATTATCAAATTTTTGCTTTAATAAAAACTCTTTAAACAGCAAAACATAGTTCTACTGGACAGCACTGACCTTAGGTCCAAAGGGCAGTATCAGCAGCAATAATAATGCAAAGGTAGAGTACCAGGCCTGATGGGCATTCTAGCAGGCAGAGGGAGGCAAGAGGACATCTTTGAGCTTGAGGCCAGTCTGTTCTACACAGAGAGTTCTAGGACAGCCAGGACTATATAGAGAGTCTGTCACAAAGAAACAAAAATGAAAAGCACATTCAAAAAAAGAACAGACAAAAGGCCAGGGAGGGGGCTGGAGAGGTGGCTCAGAGGTTAAGAGCACTGGCAGGTTCTGAGTTCGATTCCCAGCAACCCACCCGGTGGCTCACAACCATCCACAGTAAGATCTAGTGCCTTCTTCTGGCTGCAGGCATACATGCAAGCAGACCACTGCAAACATAATAAATTAGGAGTTCTCTGTATGCAACAAGTTCCTAACACAAGGATTTGAGTAGAAGTCAAAACTAGCACTCTAGCTCAGGAGCCTGTATTCACCTTTTCTTTTTTCTTTTTTTGAGTCAGGGTTTCTCTGTGTAGTCCTGGCTGTCCTAGAACTCACTGCAGACCAGGCAGTTTTCAAACTCAGAGATCCGCCTGCTTCTGCTTCCCCAGTACTGAGATTAAAGGTGTGTACCACCACTGCCCAGCTATCCAACTCTTAAGAATGAGTTTATACTCTACACCCAGGCTTGGAGTACGGAGGGCTTGGCATTTTGGTGTTATTATATTGTGTATACAAGTCAGGAAGGAAAAAAAACTGCAGATTGTGATTGGTTCTCCTTACTAGACAGGTAGTACAGCAAGTATCTTTATCTACCTGAGCCACCTCAATGGCCCCATTGTTTTTTGAAGCAGGCTCTCCTTAGTATAGGCTACCCTCAAATTCAAGCCTCTAGGTGATGGGATTACATGTGTGAGCCACTAGACCTGATCTTTTTTTCTTGTTTTGTTTTTGTTTTTTCTCTGTGAATGAGTGTTTTCCCTGCACGTATGCATATGTGCCACAAGCATGCCACATGGGTGCTAAAAACCCAACCTAGGTCCTCTGCAAGAGCATCAAGTTTCTTAACCACTGAGCCATCTTTCCAGCCCCAGGGAGGACTCTTTAAAATGGTTTGTTTGAGGTTTATAAATCCTCCCATGGAGGAAGGGAGGGAGGGAAGGAGGAAGAGAGGGAGGGAAGGAGAGGGAAGAGAGAGAGAGAATGAGAATGTAAGGCACAGGACTAGCCAATGAGTTAAGGAGGAAAACAAGGCCCTTTTATGGTTTATTAATTTTATTTTATGTGTATTAGTGCTTTGCCTGTGTGTATGTCTATGAATGTCAGATCCCCTGGAACTGGAGTTACAGACAGGCCTAGGGTTCTGAACAACCTGACGACTACACAATTTACTCATACATCAGTAACATGAGATGCTCTTTCTACTTCTTACCCTTCTCCCAGAAGACTGGCTAGCACTTACACAATCTTCTTAAACAACTTTAAAATTAAAAACAAGACAAATACCGGGTTTTTATTTTGGCATAGTATTTTTGAGGGGAGGGGTCTTGTTTTTTAAACACTTTTTAAAATATTTTATTCATTTATTTATTATGTATACAACATTCTGCTTCCATGTATATCTGCACAGCAGAAGAGGACACTAGATCTCACAATGGATGGTTGTGAGCCACCATGTGGTTGCTGGGGATTGAACTCAGGACCTCTGGAAGAGCAGCCAGTGCTCTTAACCTCTGAGCCATCTCTCCAGCTCCAAGGGGGTCTTGTTTTATTTATGGTGCTTAGGTTGAACCCAGGGCCTTGTAGGTGCTATGTCTTAAGGGCTCTCTAAGCTACAGCCTAGACACAACCAAGCTTTAATAACCATTAAATGGGTACACTATTATAAATCTAATCAGCACAAACCTTTGATCCCGGCCTTCAGGAGGCAGAGGCAAGTAGATCTTTGTGAATCTGAGTCCAGCCTACTCTACAACAAAGAGCTAGCTACAAGGCAGTCAGAACTACAGTGAGGCCGTCTCAAAAAATAACTAAAACAAATAAATCAGCATATAAATTCCAACCAAGAAGCTTCTGCTTTAACTACAGTGAGGCCGTCTCAAAAAATAAGGAAAACAAATCAGTATATAAATTTGGACCAAGACACTTCTGCTTTCATCCCAATATGGCAATTTACATGCAGACGTGCAGCATCGACAGAGCAACGTCTGCTGGGAATCAGGTGACACTCAAAAGAAAAACTCACAGAGGCAGTAAGAAGACTGGCCCCTTAGCTTTCATGTTATCAGTGTGCCAACAGCTGGTTATGCTTAGGGCTGCTGAGTCACTCCCACCAAACTTTATGAGCCTGAACAAAAATTGTGATGTCCTCATCTGTAACAGGGAATGCTTCCTCCCCGTAACAAGAATAGCAAGGGGCTGCTCTACAGTTCTCATCCACATCTAGGAAAGCCACAGAAGCTGTGTCAGTTTCTCCCAGTACAAGTGTAATCTCTTGGGCCTGAGAGTTGTCCTCCCCTGTAGGTAATGAGTTAAGAATGAGCTCTATGCAGTCTCCATTTTTGTTGTTCTGGCTTTTATTAGATGCCCCACTAGAAGCACTAAGCTTCCAATAACCTTATTAAAAAGGACAAGATCACTGGTCTACAATTGGCCACACTGTCGTTTATTTTTCGAGGCACCCTGTAATTGATTAGATTCTCTCCTTTCCACCTAGGCAAAAATAATTGCTGGATATCTATCACACCCAAGGACAGCCGACTCCATCTCTTTCCTTATTTCACTTTTGTCCTATCTTCCTTGTCCTCTTCAAGAACCTGGGCAGATGTAATCATAGAGTACAGAAACTAGTTCTCAAATGGTTTTATTTTATTTGTCTTTTTAGAGACAAGGTCTATGTAGCCGGCTAGCCTTGAACTTGGTATGTAGAGCGAGTCTGCCTCTTGAGTGCTGGGATTAAAGACAAGTGCTACCACACCTATCTCAAATGTTTCTTTAAAAGTAAATGAACTCAAGGATGGAGAGATGGCTCAGAAGTTAAGAACACTAACTACTCTTCCAGAGGTCCTGAGTTCAATTCCCAGCAACCACATGATGGCTCACAATCATCTGTTATGAGATCTGGTGCCCTTTTCTGGAGTGCAGGCATACATGGACGCAAAATGTTGTAAACATAACAAATAAATCAATCTTTAGAAAACAAAAAGCAAACATCTTGCTGTAAGATATCTCTCCCCCAAATCATAACATAAAAATTAATGATCTGCGGTAAGGCAGACTTCCTTGCCACCACACAGCCACCCTTCTACAGCCTTCACAGTCTACTGTCAAAATCTGAAAAAGAGTCTGAGCTCAATCCTTCATCTAATAACTGAGGAGCCAGATTCAGAGACAGGAACTGACTTGGAGACAGACACTGGAGCTGGCCAAGCTAGCTCATGGGTTAAGAGCAAAGCAGGCAAAAAAGATCTGGCCTCACCAAATGGCTTTTTTTTTTTTTTTTTGAGGGGGGGGGTTTCGAGGCAGGGTTTCTCTGTGGCTTTGGAGGCTGTCCTGGAACTAGCTCTTGTAGACCAGGCTGGTCTTGAACTCAGAGATCAGCCTGCCTTTGCCTCCCGAGTGCTGGGGCTATGGGAGTGCGCCACCACTGCCTGGCTCAAATGGCTTATTTTAAAGACTTCACCAGAAGACAGAAACACAACCTTTTGGTACTGCATCAATGCCACAGACCAGATTATAATTTTGACAGGCACATTATAATTTCCAATTTACTTTGATCATCTTGTCCACACAAATGCATGCTTTCTGCCACAATTACTACATAAATAAAATCAATAATTCCTTCCAGTCTAGGGACCTCCAAGTTTTCAACACTGGGCAAAAAAAATCTCAGCGCCTCTATCCCAAGAAGTAACTATATCAAGAATAAACCTTTAAGAGCACTGACTGCTCTTCCAGAGGTCCTGAGTTCAATTCCCAGCAACCACATGGTGGCGTTGGTGGCGCTCGCCTTTAATCCCAGCCCTTGAGAGGCAGAGGCAGGCGGATGTCTGTGAGTTTGAGACCAGCCTGGTCTACAAGAGCTAGTTCCAGGACAGCTAGTGCTGTTACACAGAGAAACCCTGTCTCGAAACCGCCCCGCCCCGCCAAAAAAAAAAAAAAAAAAAAAAGTGATTACATTCACAATCAACGAATGCAAGGATTAAGAGACAGGGGTAGAGAAGACAGCTCGAGATTGAGAAAACTTGTTGCTGTTGAAGGGTACTGGTTCTCAGCATCCACAAGAGGATCACATCCATCTGTAACTCTAGCTCCAGGAGGCTCGATGCCCTCCTCTGGCTTCCATGGACACCAGGTACGCCACGCACATGGCGTATATGCATACAAATATGCAAGCCAACACTCATATACATAAATATCTTTTTACGTTCATACACAAAATATACATAAAATATTTTAAGAGAAAATAAAAAGGCAACCCTATGATCCGCCTGAAAGCCTCGAACCACTACGGAATAAAGAGATGAGAACCCGGATAGACTTAAACGAGTCTAAGTCTGTTCTTCATCAGAAAAAAAAAAAGGTGCAACTTGGTGATGTATTTTTAGGTCGTCCAGCTCCGTAGTTGGGAGACTTTCTAAATACGAAATAAAGCAGGTCCTCTTCATTCTGAAGCAGAGCATCCCAACTTACTTCTTCCCACCTTCTCGAAGACGAAAATAAGAAGGGAAGAAAGAAAGCTTATCATCTGCTTGGGGCCTGAAGCTCTCAGAGGCCGCCTGGGGCCTGAGGCCAGGCTCAGGGGAGATGCGAACGAGCATAACTCGCAATGTTTTCCACCTCCCGCCTCAAAGCCAAACGGCTCCTCATCCAAACAGTTTAGAATCCTGCCTGTTAAGGCCACAACCGGGAGTGGGTCACAACCGGGAGTGGGTCACAACCCGCCAGGGGCCGTGTGCCCTTCTGGCTTCACAAGAGATCAGGACTGCGGCGCTGCGCTGGGCCCTGAGCCCTCCCAGCTGCAGGGTTATTAAGCCCAACCCCCGCCTTTCCCCTGACCTTGGGGCGCCAGCAGCTGCCCGCCCCCGCCGCGTCCCGTCCCGTCCCGTCCCCTCAGGGGCGCCTGCTTGACGGGGGCTGCCCCTTCCAGAGTGGCTGTCCCTCCCATCCCCCTCCTCCACCACCACCACCACCAC